CATTCGATAAATGAATGGGGCTAGTGCAGCTAACACACAAATGCATTTTCCAGCCCCCACCGCCATTTTGAAAAGCCCCATAGACGGCGAAAGTGATGTCACATTAGTTTCAACGGCGGAGATGGGTGTGACTAAGTCCGTTAAGATTTACAGTCTATGGATTTAAGACTTATATAGTGCTTTTTTGGACACTCAAAGACGCTTTACAGAAGAAAGAATAAGACACAAAAATAAAAAACGGAGAATAAACAGTTAAGTGTAGGCGGTTTTGAACAGTAGTTATTTAGTGATTTGTTTATTAATTACAATAGTGATCTGTGTCTCGAAGAAACCGCTCAGGAAATGCTATTCTTAAATGTTCTGTGTGTATTTCCCATCACGCTGCCTGCACATAATAAAACACTAAGCATTATTCTGGGCCCTTGAGAGATGGTCATTTACATACAACAACAACAACAACAACAACAACGCATTGTTTCAGTCTCCGTCTTGTTTTGAGGATCCAGTTCCCTCGTTATTCATTACACAGACGCTTTAATCAGTTCAAATAAACACAATCATTGCGGCGTCTCCGGGCAGAACCGCGGGTCTGAAATGTCACGGTGGCGATGTGCGTGTGGCGGGCCCCGTGCGCTCCTCGCTGACTCCTTGTCGGCTTAAATCAGGCCAGACTGGAAACACAACACTGACACACTCTGACAGTTTTACACTTGATTTCAGGCTGCAGCGCTCAAACTCAGACCGGGGGAAGAGCCGGGAGCCACGCGGTCGACTCAAAACCCTTCTGTGTCTGGATAGAGGTTGGTTTTTGTCCAGTTTTACAGCTTTTTTATTCTTTAAAGACTCAAACTCAATAAAATGTATGTGGAAAATAGATTTGTTTGATTAGCGGTGTTTGGGAAGAAGGGGTAAAATTGCAAATTGAATAGATAGTGGTTTGTTTTGAGGTAAAAACACTTTGATACAGACGTGGGCAAACTGTGGGCTGGGAGCCAGTCACAAGCATTTACATAGGGTCAGGAGGGTGGGGGGAAGGAGGTTCAGTGTGTGTGTGTGTGTGTGTGTGTGTGTGTGTGTGTGTGTGTGTGAGTGTGCGTGTATGTGCCTATTCACTCTTTGTGTATTGAATGGGTATCTGAGGGTGTTGATGATTTTCCTTTATTGACCGGTAGTGAGAGAGAGGGGAGAAAGAAAAAAAAGAAAAATAGAAATGATAATAAAAATACAGGAGGATTTAGGGGCAATAACACAAGTTGACAGCCAAAAAAATAGTCAGGGGTTTCTCAACTGATTCAGACTAATGTTGGTGTTCTGAGTCTGAATATCACATGCATTTGTCTCTATCAGGTCAACTGTTTGAGATACATAGTGTTACGGATTATGTACGTCTACGTTATTATGAATTCTGCTTATCAAATTTGATGGAGTAAATAAAAACTGAATGACTTTGGATACGTTGACTTTTATTTCTTGAGGAAAACGGAAAAAAACGTTAAGGGTTTCTCAGCTGATGATCCGCAGAAATTCTAGCAAAAAATCCTGACCTGATTGAGCAAAACCAAGGTCATTTTCGGACTCCGAGCATCAACATTAGTCTAATTCAGCTGAAAAACCTTGGACTATTTTCAAAAGATATTTTTTTGTTACCCAGTGTTATCCTAGGGAGGGAGATGGTCGTAACCTTGGTGAAGAGGATAGCAAGGACCATATCTAGGCACGCTAAGTATGTGATCTTTATCCATATACCTCCTCTCGCAGGTCACAAAGCAGTTGTGGGCAGTCCCTTGATCTTATGTTATAACACTGTAATAATGTATAGTGTCCACCAGAGGTGGGACAAAGTCATTGTTTAGCAAGTCACAAGTCAGTCTCAATTCATTGCCCTCAAGTCCCGAGTCAAGTCACGAGTCAAGACAGGCAAGTCCCGAGTCGAGTCCAAGTCAAAGGCCAACAAATCTCAAGTCAGTCCCAAGTCCTACGGTTTGACTTTCGAGTCCTCTCGAGTCTTTTTGACCGCGATTTGTTTCTTGTTGGTCTCCACGTACTTTTGTAGGCAAACAAAATAATGTTAGGAATCATTTTGCTGGTGCATTCTCGTTGGTCTCTGACCCATGGACTAACAGTTTGTTCCATGTCGTTGGCTGCTGATAAATCAAAACTATCTACGTGATCTAATTGGATGTTGTGCCAGATGCAGGCTCAGTTACACATGCACAGACCACACATAAAATCAGAGCAGTCCGTGTCAACATACTTTTTATCTTTGGGGTTTTTAATGGGAAGTAGCAAGTGCAGCATATATGAATATGAGTATTGGGCTAGGACCTGTATCTATATATGACAGTTTAATGTCCGTAGTGGTTATTGTTCCAAATGTCCTACTGTAGAATAGGGGTAGTATGAGGGGTCTAGGCTTTGGACCTGGGGCAGCTCGCCATCAACTGGACCAGCATTAGCCATATCTCATAATTACCAATATCCATCTATCCATCTTCTACCCTTTAATCCATTTCTGGGTCAGGGGGGTGGCAATCAGAGATGCCACCCAAGTCTCATAGCACCAGCCCCTCACCGACCCTCTGCAGGTGGTGAGTCCACAGGAGGACGGCTGCTCTGAGTGTGAGCATAGCCTTGATCTTTCAGTGGGAGCTTTGCCCACTAATAATTACCAATATATCATTACATAATAAAATGTCTCATATAAATTAATTCAATCAGTCAAAGCACTGATTCTCATATCAATGCACCATAAACAATAGTGCAAATATTAATCTAGCTTAGTGCACATAATCAAAACAACTATCTAATGTATGCAAACTTTAGCAGGAGGAGCACAGCAAAAACATACTCATAATAATAGGCCTCGGCGCCCACACAGAAAAATATAAGAAAGAGCCAACAGAGCAGCGCAGGCTAGCGCTAGTTTGACTCACCAGTTCCTCTTTAAAACACGGCACACGGTGTGACAACTGCGTCGATTCAATTGTATGAGGCGCCTGTAGTGAAAGCATATCAATTACGGTTTGTAGAACAAAATATGACGTTAGGTCGCGATAAATACCTGCAGCTCGCTCATTTCCAGCTCCCCAACGACAACACACCCACCGGTGAATGCAGTCCGCTTGTTTAGGGAAGTGTTGCTGCGCGAACTGCGGGGAACTCACGTTCAAACTCTCTCGCGAGCGCTACAACTACCGCGAGGCTTTGTTTCTTCAGAGACGGCATAGATAGAAAGAGAGATGCGGAGAAAGGTAAAAATGGCCCGGGTTACGCAAGTCTTTACAAGTCAATTGGCGCAAGTCCAAGTGAAAGTCAGAGTCATTGATGTTAAAGTCCAAGTCGAGTTGCAAGTCTTTTTATATTTGGTCAAGTCGAGTCTAAAGTCATCAAAATCATGACTCGAGTCTGACTCGAGTCCAAGTCACATGACTCGAGTCCACACCTCTGGTGTCCACTCAACCACCAGCAGAAACTCAAAACACACTTTATAATAGTCACGGTACACAATATTCTGTGGGTCTTCAAAATCAGTGAAAATACTCAGAAACAGCAGGCAGGCGATCAGTTACTCTAACAGGGAATTTACACAGTAGGCGTAAACAGCGCGTACGCGTTTACTGCGCGCTCTCTGCGCGTAACATTTTTTTGGAGTATCTACACAGGCCGTGCCGCGCAGGTCCTTCTGATGTCTCTGTGTAGTCTATGGAGCAGTGTAGAGGACAGTACAGAGGACTGATGTAGAGCAGGCATGTCAAAGTCAAATACATCAGAGGGCCAAAAAAAGATTTTTGCTACGCGCCGAGGGCCGGACTGGTTCAATGTTTCTCAACATCCAGAGGCAGTGCCGGTGACACCTGTTGGCTCGATAAAATATGCTCTAAAGCCAATCCTCATATTGTACATATTAGATGTAATAGACATCTGAGAACATGAAAATAGAAAAAAAAGAAAAAGCTCAAACAAGAGCAGTCTGGACCTCTTTTCGGGGCGTTTTTTGATTAAATCTGAAGAATGGATTATACTTTGGGAAATACAAGTGGATATTCTTCAATAGACAGTTACGGAGAGAAAGAGACTAAGCAAGGATGGGGAAAGTATAATTTGTTGGAGCAGCAGAAGACGAAAGGTAAAAAACAAATACAGACTGATTTATTTTGTGCCCATATTATGCGTTATATCTTTTTAATGCAAAGTCTGATATCGTTTACACTTACATATAAATATAGCTGAGAAAATAAGCTTTAAAATGATATATAGCTTGTGGCTTATGAAGTTCAAAATACATCTGCTATTGCCAGCAGATGTATTTTATTCCTCGTTTGCTCCCGCCGGCGGGGGCTAGCGAGCTTAAGGGGTCAATACATTGCCTCAATGGCAGGCAATGTCCCGGGGGCCATAGATAATTCATTCGCGGGCCGGATTTGGCCCGCGGGCCTTGACTTTGACACATGTGATGTAGAGCAACACAAATCACATGCATGTGTTTGTCTTCATGGTCTCTGTGCGCTGGTTTGGCCAGACGCCAGACTTTATGAAAGAAAAAAAACTATGTCTAGAATCACTGTAAAACCTGCTGCTCCTCCTGCTGATGTTTAGATACAAGTGCTGTGTGTGCGTAGATGCGATCTAGAGCCAAGGACCGCTAGAAAAATCATGTTTTACATGAGATTTCAATGGGAGACGCGTTGGTGCACGCACACAATTAGAAATCCATCCTAAATTAGAGCGCAGCTTCGCGTCACATGTCCGTCATAGCGCGTATAACGCTAGAAGTGTAAATATCATCATAGGTTAACATGGAAAAAAGTTACGCGCGTCTGCTGCGCGTATAACGCGTACGTGCTGTAACGCGGCATGTGTAAATTAGCAGTAACACCTATTTAAAAAAATCTGATCATAATTTGGATTAGAATATTGATGTATACATGGACCCTGAAAAAAGACCCCGATTATGACTTGGGTTTCGATGTGTAATACCTTTTGACATGAGCAGGACATACCGTATATGGAAGAAGAAGAAGAAGAAGAAGAAGAAGAGGAAGAAGAAGCAGGAGAAGGAGAAGAAGCAGAAGAAGAAAAAGAAGCAGAAGAAGCAGAAGAACAATAAGAAGAAGAAGAACAAGAACAAGAAGAAGAACAAGAAGAAGAAGAAGATATAGAAGAAGAAGCAGAAGAAGAAGCAGAAGCAGAAGAAGAAGAAGAAGCAAAAGAAGCAGAAGAAGCAGAAGAAGAAGCAGAAGAAGAAGAAGAAGAAGCAGAAGAAGAAGCAGAAGAATAAGCAGAAGAAGAAGAAGCAGGAGGAGAAGAAGAAGAACAAGAAAAAGAACAAGAGGAAGAAGAGGAAGAAGAAGAAGAAGCAAAAGAAGCAGAAGAAGAAGAAGAAGCAGAAGAAGAAGAAGTAGCAGAAGAAGAAGAAGAAGCAGAAGAAGAAGAAGAAGAAGAATAAGCAGAAGAAGAAGAAGCAGAAGAAGCAGAAGAATAAGCAGAAGAAGAAGAAGCAGGAGAAGAACAAGAACAAGAACAAGAGGAAGAAGAGGAAGAAGAAGAAGAAGCAAAAGAAGCAGAAGAAGAAGAAGGAGCAGAAGAAGAAGAAGTAGCAGAAGAAGAAGAAGTAGCAGAAGAAGAAGAAGAAGCAGAAGAAGAAGAAGAAGAATAAGCAGAAGAAGAACAAGAACAAGAACAAGAGGAAGAAGAAGAAGAAGAAGAAGTAGCGGAAGAAGAAGAAGCAGTAGAAGAAGAAGAAGAAGAAGCAGAAGAAGAAGAAGAAGGAGTGACTTACATTGTGAACAAACTTGGCTAAGTACATTTCCGAGGCTGACACTAATTACATACATTTAGTTTTTTCTCTCGTTCCTCACTTTGTTTTGTAACTTTCTTTTTGAAATGGAGCAATACTGTGCCCTTCATACTTTAGGATTTACTCGTCACGGTTTTAGAGCAACAAACTCAACAATATAAAACGCTATTTCTGTACGAGTTGAAAGGGCAAAGGCAGCAGCAGCAAGACAGTAGCTTAACTCCACGACAAATACATTTAGCATCCTAATCTGAAGGACAATCGGCATAAACCAAACGCCTCGATCGGAAGGAAATGTGTGGTCTGAATATTCCGAATCGCTTGTTTACATTAAGCATTTTTATTCCGGTTAGGCTTTAAATCCAATTATTTGTTTCCTTGTAAACATAGCTAGTGTTCCATAGGATTACTGTTGTTAGCTGAATTTCTCCGACGGGGATCAATAAAGTATCGATCTATCTATCTACTGTATGTATCTATAGGATTACTGTATGTATCTATAGGATTACAGTATGTATCTATAGGATTACTGTATGTATCTATAGGATTACTGTATGTATCTATCTATCTACTGTATGTATCTATCTACTGTATGTATCTATAGGATTACAGTATGTATCTATCTACTGTATGTATCTATAGGATTACAGTATGTATCTATAGGATTACTGTATGTATCTATAGGATTACAGTATGTATCTATAGGATTACTGCATGTATCTATAGGATTACTGTATGTATCTATAGGATTACTGTATGTATCTATAGGATTACTGTATGTATCTATAGGATTACTGTATGTATCTATAGGATTACTGTATATATCTATAGGATTACAGTATGTATCTATAGGATTACTGTATGTATCTATAGGATTACTGTATGTATCTATAGGATTACTGTATGTATCTATAGGATTACAGTATGTATCTATAGGATTACTGTATGTATCTATCTATCTACTGTATGTATCTATAGGATTACTGTATGTATCTATCTATCTACTGTATGTATCTATAGGATTGCAGTATGTATCTATAGGATTACTGTATGTATCTATAGGATTACTGTATGTATCTATAGGATTGCAGTATGTATCTATAGGATTACTGTATGTATCTATAGGATTACTGTATGTATCTATAGGATTACTGTATGTATCTATAGGAATGCAGTATGTATCTATAGGATTACTGTATGTATCTATAGGATTACTGTATGTATCTATAGGATTACAGGTTAACCAATGTTCATAATATAGCTCTTCCACCCTCCTGCATCAATCCAGAGGAAAACTCTCCAAGACTCATAAGAAAATACATTGTTAGCCAATCAGAAGCTAATTACTAAAGCCTAATTTCCACAATACATTCACTACAACATTCAACCATTTCCTCTTCATGGTTGCGTTCTGCTACAAGTCTCCGGATTGTTTCTGTCACGTCTTCAGCTTGAGAAGGCTCCAGTGGGAATAAAAAACAGCTTGTCGGTATTAGCACTATGAGTCCCTGGGGGTTTGGAGCTCACCATTTGTGCCAGACGCCAGAAACCATCAGTAGCACAGACTTCACTCTAGATTTCTCTGCATTGGAAAGTCTTTTCTGCAAACACTGAAATGTGAGGGATCAAAAATGGCTGATTCTACTGTTGGACAATAAAGAAGAGATGATGAAATTCACCCAATGCAGCTATTTTTGACCTGTTTGGTTCAATAATGTTATGGCCGCCCCCTTGGCTTCATCAAACCAGGATCTCCAAGAAAGACAAAATTCAGTCAAATGTTAAAGGAGCAGTGTGTAAAACTGGCCAAAAGTGGTACTGCAGCCTCTCCCACACTCCCTGACTCAGAGAGTGTGGGAGAGTTTGTCAACAAGAGTTTTGTCAACAACAAATCTATAACCAACACCTTTTTCACAAAGATAGAAATCCTGCTTTTATTCCTTGTTTTGTCGTTAATGATTTGAGAATCATAACGAGACCTTTTTTAGTTCTGCGCCACATGGTACTTTACCAGTGAGATTAGCTCCACGCGGTGAGTTCTGGCGCCCGGATCACAGACTTTCTGATTGGTGAAACGGTGGAGGGCGGGACATCGAAATGAAAACAATAACAAGATTTAGAGGCTGGAAAAGTAATTTAGAAATTCAAATATCTCTGAACTACTGTTATCAGTTAAAGAAGGATTGGAAAAGAGCAGTTTATTATTATGACAGATTAGGGCCCTTTAATGATGACAGATTAGGGCCATTTATTGATGACAAATTAGGGCCTTTTATTGATGACAGATTAGGACCCTTTAATGGTGACAGATTAGGGCCCTTTAATGATGACAGATTAGGGCACTTAAATGATGACAGATTAGGGCCATTTATTGATGACAGATTAGGGCCCTTTAATGATGACAGATTAGGGCCCTTTAATGATGACAGATTAGGGCCCTTTAATGATGACAGATTAGGGCCCTTTAATGATGACAGATTAGGGCCCTTTAATGATGAAAGATTAGGGCCCTTTAATGATGACAGATTAGGGCCCTTTATTGATGACAGATAAGGGCCCTTTAATGATGACAGATTAGGGCCCTTTAATGATGACAGATTAGGGACAGATTAGGACCCTTTAATGGTGACAGATTAGGGCCCTTTAATGATGACAGATTAGGGCCCTTTAATGATGACAGATTAGGGCCCTTTATTGATGACAGATTAGGGCCCTTTAATGATGACAGATTAGGGCCCTTTAATGATGACAGATTAGGGCCCTTTAATGATGACAGATTAGGGCAGCTGGATCTTGAGGGAAGGAGGAAAAATCAAGTATCTCTCTTCAAGGAACAGGGAGGATATAATCTACACACAGATGATACCACAGGCTCATTTAGTAAACAAATACATATCTTTTTCAAACTAAAATACATTTTAAGTCAAAAACATCTTTAAATTTTGCTGCGTCACAAATAAAAGACATCACCTACATTTATTTTACAGCGTTTCCAGCAAAAAAAAAGCGTAAAATAATCCCGCACAAATGATGGAGGCCCGGACGGGGAGTGTAGAGAGAGAGCTTTGGTACGATTCATTTCCAAAAGGCCTCATAAGCCTCTCGCTGTTAAAGGCTCTTTTATCGGTGCAATCCTTTGGAGAGGCTAAATAAAGGGAGTCAGTTCAGAGCGTATTATTAGGTCGGTTTCATCACGGCGCTGAATTAAACCACAGATTGACTCGGCTCGGCCTCTTTTCATCTTTCTAAACGCAACAAAAGGAGGTGTTTGGATGGAATTATTCAGGAGTTTGTTTGAAGAAGAGACAAAACATGCAGGAAATAAACCCAAATCAAAACGTTCTTAAAGGAGCAGTATGTAAACATGTGGCCAAAAGTGGTACTGCAGCCTCTCCCACTCTCCCTGACTCAGGTTGCCAGATATGCAGACGAATCCAGCTGGGACCATAACAGCTGAATAGACAAGAGTTTAGTCAACAACAAATCTATAACCAACACCTTTTTCACAAAGATAGAAATCCTGGTTTTATTCTTTGTTTTGTCGTTAATGATTTGAGAATCATAACGAGACCTTTTTGAGTTCTGCGCCACATGGTACTTTACTACTTCTGGGTGGATCATCAAGACTATTGGTCCTCCCAACTGTCAATCATTCTGGTGACACGCCAAATAAGACCAGAGGGATTGTTCAAAAAGTAGAGAGGGCGCTTCTTTCCTAAAATTTTGGAAAATCCTCATTTAAAACTTTAAATATTGATCTTATTTATACAAAAATATGATTGATTCTGAAATTTGAGTTTGACTTCAAGTAACGTCAAAGTAAATCTTCTGATATTTGCAGTGTTTTAGCAGAAATCCTTGTAAATTAAACAAAAATAAATAGCAAAATAGCACAAATTACCACATTGTCTGATTAATCGACCAAACAACTCTAAAAACCAACAGTTATGGAGTGACGCGTGCAGCACAAACACAGCCCTGGGCCACAGTCATAATAAACATTTAAATGCATCCTCATTCATCAAATTCCTCAATAAGGTTTTACAAACGCGTTCCGGCGTCGGCACAAACTGGAGCTGGAGGCCACTTTGTCACATCCTCTAATTGATAATGGAGCCGCGGTCTCTGATGGGCAGCTTGTGTGGGTCCCTCTGGGAGACGGGTCCGGGGCCCTCACAGCCGTTTCACACCTGCCATGTTCCAACCATTTAAATGAACCCCGCGGCGTGTGACCTCTTTGTTTGGAAATTGACCAAAAAAACTCATTTAAATGCAGCCGGCAAAGACCCGCTTAAACGCCATCATTTGAAGACAATAGAGGAGATTATGTTATTCAAAACTGAGCAGCAGCGATAGACCGTGGAGTATTTTAACACGGTCCTAAGTGAGGGCTGGCAGTGTGGCAGAAGAAGAAGAAATAATAATGTTAATAATAATAACAACAACAACAACAATAATAATAATAATAATAATAATGATAATAATAATGATAATAATAATAATAATGATAATAATAATAATAATAATAATAATAATAATGATAATAATAATGATAATAATGATAATAATAATAATAATAACGATAATAATAATAATGATAATAATAGGGGGCGACAGTAGCTCAGTTGGTAGAGCATTGGCCTTTGAGCCTGAAGGTCGTGGGTTCGAGCCCACCGTAAGACCTACTTCACGACTCCCACTGATGACTACTGTCGTTGTGTCCTTGGGCAAGACACTTAACCCCACTTTGCCTGAAGCTCCCACTGAAAGATCTCAGCTCCTGCAGGAGGATCAGTGAGGGGCTGGTGCTCTGTGAACTGGGCGCAGCTCTGACTGCCACCCCCCGACTCAGAAATGGATTAAGGGGAAGAAAATGGATGGATGGATGGATGGATGGATGGATGATAATAATAATGATAATAATGATAATAATAATAATAATAATAATAATAATAATAATAATAATAATGATAATGATAATAATAATGCATCGGTTTTATATATATTTATATTGCGACAGTAGCTCAGTTGGTAGAGCATTGGCCTTTAGGCCTGAAGGTTGTGGGTTCGAGTCCACCATAAGACCTACTTCATGACTCCCACTGATGACTTCTGTCGTTGTGTCCTTGGGCAAGACACTTAACCCCACTTTGCCCAAAGCCCCAACTGAAAGATCTCAGCTCCTGTGGACTCAGCACCTGCAGGAGGATCAGTGAGGGGCTGGTGCTCTGTGACTGGGTGCAGCTCTGACTGCCACCCCCCCGACCCAGAAATGGATTAAGGGGAAGAAAATGGATGGATGGACGGTTTTATATAGCACTTTTTTGGACACTCAAAGACGCTTCACATCATTATTCATTCACTCCAAACACAGTGGTGATAACTACTACTGTAGCCACAGCTGCCCTGGGGCACACTGACAGAAGCGAGGGGAATTTAGAGCCCCTAAATCTTGTTATTGTTTTCATTTTGATGTCCCGCCCTCCACCGTTTCACCAATCAGAAAGTCTGTGATCCGGGCGCCAGAACTCACCGCATGGAGCTAATCTCACTGGTAAAGTACCATGTGGCGCAGAACTAAAAAAGGTCTCGTCATGATTCTCAAATCATTAACGACAAAACAAGGAATAAAACCAGGATTTCTATCTTTGTGAAAAAGGTGTTGGTTATAGATTTGTTGTTGACAAAACTCTTGTCTATTCAGCTGTTATGGTCCCAGCTGGATTCGTCTGCATATCTGGCAACCTGAGTCAGGGAGAGTGGGAGGGGCTGCAGTACCACTTTTGGCCACATGTTTACACACTGCTCCTTTAACATTTGATTGAATTCTGTCTTTCTTTATGTCAGGAACATGATCGTTCTGATTGATTATTCCGATCAGTCGATTATTGAATATATTATTTGTGTGACACATGTGACTGTTAACCAATTAGAATTCCATTGATATTTAAGCTTCTCTGTGTGTAGCTAATTGTTATGAAATGTGTCTAATTAAAACAATCCTACCTGAAGTTCTAACGAATCATAATGTGACGGATACAAAAGACAAAGTTGGCAGAAAACGTCCCTGAGTCACAGCAACAGCCTCATAAATCAGAAAGTGTCTTTGGTGGAAGTGGTGATGGGTTTATGGCCTCAGGCCGTGATTAATGAGGTCCATTTACACGGCTGCGTTACTGATGTTTGTAGAAACTGGCAACAAAACGCACAAAACATGGAACTGACACTCAATGGATTCTGCAGCTCGAGTCCGGACCAGAACCAGGAAGTCTCTCACATTAGTCCCTGTGCTCAGGTCTCTGCGCCAAAGAACATCAGTGACATAGTGTCATATGAACCAAGTCTCTGAGGAGCACAGGGACTGGCTTCCTGCTGGGACTCTGAGGAGCACAGGGACTGGCTTCCTGCTGGGACTCTGAGGAGCACAGGGACTGTCCTCCTGCTGGGACTCTGAGGAGCACAGGGACTGGCCTCCTGCTGGGACTCTGAGGAGCACAGGGACTGTCCTCCTGCTGGGACTCTGAGGAGCACAGGGACTGGCTTCCTGCTGGGACTCTGAGGAGCACAGGGACTGGCTTCCTGCTGGGACTCTGAGGAGCACAGGGACTGGACTCCTGCTGGGACTCTGAGGAGCACAGGGACTGGACTCCTGCTGGGACTCTGAGGAGCACAGGGACTGGCCTCCTGCTGGGACTCTGAGGAGCACAGGGACTGGCTTCCTGCTGGGACTCTGAGGAGCACAGGGACTGGCCTCCTGCTGGGACTCTGAGGAGCACAGGGACTGGCTTCCTGCTGGGACTCTGAGGAGCACAGGGACTGGCCTCCTGCTGGGACTCTGAGGAGCACAGGGACTGGACTCCTGCTGGGACTCTGAGGAGCACAGGGACTGGACTCCTGCTGGGACTCTGAGGAGCACAGGGACTGGTCTCCTGCTGGGAATCTGAGGAGCACAGGGACTGGACTCCTGCTGGGACTCTGAGGAGCACAGGGACTGGTCTCCTGCTGGGACTCTGAGGAGCACAGGGACTGGACTCCTGCTGGGAATCTGAGGAGCACAGGGACTGGACTCCTGCTGGGACTCTGAGGAGCACAGGGACTGGACTCCTGCTGGGACTCTTGGGATTTTTTCTTGGTTTTAGTTTGGAGTTCTGTAAGAGGGAATTTTCTTCTTATTTTTTGTTGTTGTTGTTGAGTTTTTAAAATTAAATCTTATATTTTTGGCAGTCCTGCTTTTTGGGTTCATGTGTTGGGGTGAATAAGAATGTACCCCCCTTCCCTTAAGGCCCCCCTCAATGAAGGATGCCCCTGTCTCCCGCTGACCAATCACAGCTGACTTTAGCTGTTATGTCATCTTAGGTATATATGAAGTAGGATTTCCTTCTTTCGGTCTTTGTCCCAGCATTAAACTAGCATCCTCTCTCCCTCAGTCCAGCCTCTCTCGTTCAGTCCAGCCTCTCTCCCTCAGTCCAGCCTCTCTCCCTCAGTCCAGCCTCTCTCCCTCAGTCCAGCCTCTCTCCCTCAGTCCAGCCTCTCTCCCTCAGTCCACCCTCTCTCCCTCAGTCCAGCCTCTCTCCCTCAGTCCACCCTCTCTCCCTCAGTCCACCCTCTCTCCCTCAGTCCAGCCTCTCTCCCTCAGTCCAGCCTCTCTCGTTCAGTCCACCCTTTCTCTCTCAGTCCAGCCTCTCTCCCTCAGTCCAGCCTCTCTCCCTCAGTCCAGCCTCTCTCGTTCAGTCCAGCCTCTCTCCCTCAGCCCAGCATCTCTCTCTCAGTCCAGCCTCTCTCCCTCAGTCCAGCCTCTCTCCCTCAGTCCAGCCTCTCTCTCTCAGTCCAGCCTCTCTCCCTCAGTCCAGCCTCTCTCCCTCAGTCCAGCCTCTCTCCCTCAGTCCAGCCTCTCTCCCTCAGTCCAGCCTCTCTCGTTCAGTCCAGCCTCTCTCGTTCAGTCCAGCCTCTCTCCCTCAGTCCAGCCTCTCTCGTTCAGTCCAGCCTCTCTCCCTCAGTCCAGCCTCTCTCCCTCAGTCCAGCCTCTCTCCCTCAGTCCAGCCTCTCTCCCTCAGTCCACCCTCTCTCCCTCAGTCCAGCCTCTCTCCCTCAGTCCAGCATCTCTCCCTCAGTCCACCCTCTCTCCCTCAGTCCAGCCTCTCTCCCTCAGTCCAGCATCTCTCCCTCAGTCCACCCTCTCTCCCTCAGTCCAGCATCTCTCTCTCAGTCCAGCCTCTCTCCCTCGGTCCAGCCTCTCTCCCTCAGTCCAGCCTCTCTCCCTCAGTCCAGCCTCTCTCTCTCAGTCCAGCCTCTCTCCCTCAGTCCAGCCTCTCTCTCTCAGTCCAGCCTCTCTCCCTCGGTCCAGCCTCTCTCCCTCAGTCCACCCTCTCTCCCTCAGTCCACCCTCTCTCCCTCAGTCCAGCCTCTCTCCCTCAGTCCACCCTCTCTCCCTCAGTCCACCCTCTCTCTCTCAGTCCAGCATCTCTCTCTCAGTCCAGCCTCTCTCCCTCGGTCCAGCCTCTCTCCCTCAGTCCACCCTCTCTCCCTCAGTCCAGCCTCTCTCTCTCAGTCCAGCCTCTCTCTCTCAGTCCAGCATCTCTCTCTCAGTCCAGCCTCTCTCCCTCGGTCCAGCCTCTCTCCCTCAGTCCAGCCTCTCTCCCTCAGTCCAGCCTCTCTCTCTCAGTCCAGCCTCTCTCTCTCAGCCCAGCATCTCTCTCTCAGTCCAGCCTCTCTCCCTCAGTCCAGCCTCTCTCCCTCAGTCCAGCCTCTCTCCCTCGGTCCAGCCTCTCTCCCTCAGTCCAGCCTCTCTCCCTCAGTCCAGCCTCTCTCTCTCAGTCCAGCCTCTCTCCCTCAGTCCAGCCTCTCTCCCTCAGTCCACCCTCTCTCCCTCAGTCCAGCCTCTCTCCCTCAGTCCAGCCTCTCTCCCTCAGTCCAGCCTCTCTCCCTCAGTCCAGCCTCTCTCCCTCAGTCCAGCCTCTCTCCCTAAGTCCAGCCTCTCTCCCTCAGTCCAGCCTCTCTCCCTAAGTCCAGCCTCTCTCCCTCAGTCCAGCCTCTCTCCCTCAGTCCAGCCTCTCTCCCTCAGTCCACCCTCTCTCCCTCAGTCCAGCCTCTCTCCCTCAGTCCAGCCTCTCTCCCTCAGTCCAGCCTCTCTCCCTCAGTCCAGCCTCTCTCCCTCAGTCCAGCCTCTCTCCCTAAGTCCAGCCTCTCTCCCTCAGTCCAGCCTCTCTCCCTAAGTCCAGCCTCTCTCCCTCAGTCCAGCCTCTCTCCCTCAGTCCAGCCTCTCTCCCTCAGTCTAGCCTCTCTCTCTCAGTCCAGCCAATCCAGCCTCTCTCCCTCAGTTTATGCCTGTGTGTATCTAACAAAGCAACAAATATTACATGATTATATAAATATAATCTCATGGTAAAAACCTCTTGCATTAAACAATGCTCGAGTTTGTTTTTGTAGCGCGCGAGATTCCAAACAAAGCATCATCATCTCCACGGCAACCAGCGGAAAGCAGACCCCAGCGTTAAAGTTTCAGTCTCGACAATTAACTTAAAAGCATCGAACCGCATGTCAGCAAATCCATAGCAATACCACACGCACACACACACACACACACACACACACACACATACGCGCACACACACACACGCACGCACACACACACACACACACACACACACACACACATACACACACACATACACACCCATACACACACACACATTACAATACATCTCTTCCTCTGCAGAGTACACCGAGGCGTTGCTATGGTTACATCTACCTGGCCGCGGTGGGACTAGCCTCTTCTGAAGCAGCAGAGGGAGCCGGGCGTCGGTCATACCTGCGCTGACCACTTTGGCGAGCCGCCGCAGCCGCCTCTGGTGCGTCTTGCCGCGGTAGTGGATTTGGGCCTGAGCGCTGGAGTTGAGCTGGATGTTACAGACTTGACACATGGTGGCGCTGCTGCTGCCTCCGGGACGGCGCTCTCGCTTGGCCCTGTGTCCCGCCGAGCTCTTCCTCACCTCCTCCTCTTCCTCCACCTCCTCCTCCACCTCCTCCTTGGCCTCGCCTTTGGCAGGAGGGCTCTCGTCCATGGGGTCAGGGCTCTTGGGATGCTTCATGTCTGAGGGAGAGAAATCAGTCTCAATTTAAGGATGCAGTCGGGGATTCTTTCCAGACGCATTATTTTTAATATTGTGGGAAAATGTCCCTAAACCCAAAAAGTATCAAGTTATCATGAGTTTGCAAATAGTAATGGAATCGACCAGATGTCTATAGTCTGCAAAAAATAATGAAAAATATTTTGGAGCGGACCGATAAAAATGAACCAATGGGATGTGTTCATCCCCAACGAACCAATGGGATGTGTTTACCCTTCACCCTCTTCCTGTTTCTCACAAGTGCACCGGAGTTATCAGAAAATGCCAATTTCAGTATGGTACACTCTCCCTGTGACAAAGAGACCCAAACCCTAACCCTAAAGGTTTGGTGGAGAGGGAGGGAGGGGGGAGTGGTTTGGTGGAGAGGGGAGGGGAGGGGGGAGTGGTTAGGTGGAGAGGGAGGGGGGAGTGGTTAGGTGTAGAGGGAGGGAGGGGGGAGTGGTTTGGTGGAGAGGGAGGGGGGAGTGGTTTGGTGGAGAGGGAGGGGGGAGTGGTTTGGGGGAGAGGGAGGGGAGGGGGGAGTGGTTTGGTGGAGAGGGAGGGAGGGGGGAGTGGTTTGGTGGAGAGGGAGGGAGGGGGGAGTGGTTTGGTGGAGAGGGAGGGGGGGGGAGTGGTTTGGTGGAGAGGGGAGGGGAGGGGGGAGTGGTTTGGTGGAGAGGGAGGGGGGAGTGGTTTGGTGGGAGGGAGGGGGGAGTGGTTTGGGGGAGAGGGAGGGGGAGTGGTTTGGGGGAGAGGGAGGGAGGGGGAGTGGTTTGGGGGAGAGGGAAGTGGTTTCAAGTTGGTGCTACGGCTAAGCTAACAAATCGCTAACTGTTTATCTATATAGCACATTTTTCCAAACCAAAGCCAGAGTTCAGATCGTTTTATGTTCTCGCCTCACGGTGATGACGGAAGCGAGACTAGAACACACAGGTCCATCAAAGCCTCCGACCAAACACCCTCCATTCACTCATTTACATTCAGACCTATTGTGCATGATTTTAGTGATAGGGGAAACCGGAGCACCCGGAGGAAACCTTTGCAGACACAGGGAGAACATGTAAACTCCACTCAGAAAGACCCTGTTACGACCGGGATTTGAACCTAGGACCTTCTTGCTGAGAAGCGGGAGGGCTAACCACTCAGCCATAATGGGATTATACAAAAGCATGTTAAACATAATTTATTTTCTTATAATACAGTCAAATTTTATTTATTCTAACAATTTAGTTCAACACATCAGTCGAAGAAAACATGGTCAGAGTCTCACATCCTCAGGAAGACTGTTCCATATCCTGACTGCACCAAGCTCATGAAAACATTATTATTATTATTATTATTATCATTATCCATTTTATTCATTCAGCACATTTTTATAAAGCAGTTTCCAAAGTGCTGCACAGAGATAAAAGTAACGTAAACCATTATTTACACAAATGTAAAAACAATAAAAATGTTATAAAAACAATACATTTCTAAACATTATGTTTATAAAGAGGGAATTATTTGAAAATAATATATAGATACATAGATAAGACTTTATTGATCTCACACAAAGTTACAAATTAATTTAAATTCATTCATTAATTCTTTTAGTCCATCTATTAAAAAACATTTGAATCGTTTCGGGGAAAATCTAGGTCTTTGAAATTACTAAAGAAAATAGAGACTTTGTCTGAGATTGTGTGTCTATTTGTATTATTGTGACAGTTGTTGAAATGTGTTTATGAAAAGTTAATTTGCAAAAAGTAGTGTTTCTTTAGCTGCAATAATGCACATTTTTAATTATTGGCAGAACATTTGAAAGGATTTGTAAAACACTCAAATACACCTGGCTTTACCAAAAACTACTTGGGCAAATTGTGTTTATTCCTAACGGCACTTATCTGTTTTTTCAAATGAACTATTTACATATTTAAGTTATAAAACGGGTAAAACACTGTGTATGTGTTCACAGTTGTGGGTTTTGTGGTTGTGTTGAAACGAAGTGACATCTTTCCTGCTGCTCAAAGGCCAACCTCAGAACCCTGCAGTGTGCATGGCGCTAAAGCATCCACCAGGGGGCGCCCTAACAGCACCGTCCACAGCCTTCACTTTCACTTCATTTTTACACATTTTTCAAGTGTTTGTGGCTCCATTAGGCGCTCACGTAAAACCACGCACACACACCACTTCAACGATTAAGCCAATTATGTGAGATGCATTTTAAGTTAAAGATTGAACACATAAATAAGACCCGTGTTGAATTTCTTGCCGTGAAAGCACCTGAATTATGAATCCATTAGTGAGCGGCTCTTCCAACGCATCTGAGCAGAAGTGAGAAATGCAAGCTCTAGTTTTGAGGTATTGGGACGTTTTCCAGCTGAGAAACGCAAGCGACTTCCGGGTGTGTACACAAAAAGGCTGTTTCTTTCTATGTGAGTGCCATTAAATCTGTAATGGCAGAGTCATTACGGCAGGCCGAGTGCATGAATCAGAAAAAAAAAACGAAAAAACAAACAAAAAACCTGGCTTCTGGTGTAAATGTGGAAACGTCAATTCTTTGTCTCGGTCCTGTTCATATGATAATAACGTCAATTAAGTCCTTGTGCATTTTCACTCCGCGGGCCGCACTTCCCACCGCTGCCTCCGCAAAAATCGGCAATTATTGGGGGAGAAATATGGATGCATTATAAAAATTCAATTTGCAGAAAAGTGCAGTAGAAATGTGTTTATTATCAGCGTCGCAGCAAAAGCACGGACATCAAAGCCACCGCCATTATCTGAGTGTTTTACCGACTGCACTTCAGCCAATGGTAAATATCTCTGTATCCGGAAATCAATCATATTTATGTATCTATGCATTTTATTTATTTATTTATAAAAAGGTACAAACAGAAACACAGCAGTAAACATACCATAGATGTGTGATTGAAATACATAAAGTTATACTAATGTGAAACCAGTGCTGTGTGTGTGTGTGTGTGTGTGTGTGTGTGTGTGTGTGTGTGTCTGTGTCTGTGTGTGTGTGTGTGTGTGTGTGTGTGTCTGTCTGTACGTGTGTGTGTGTGTCTGTGTGTGTGTACGTGTGTGTGTGTCTGTGTGTGTACGTGTGTGTGTGTGTCTGTGTGTGTGTGTCTGTGTGTGTGTGTGTGTGTCTGTGTGTGTGTACGTGTGTGTGTGTGTGTGTGTGTGTGTCTGTGTGTACGTGTGTGTGTGTCTGTGTGTAAGTGTGCGTGTGTGTGTCTGCGTGTAAGTGTGTGTGTGTCTGTCTGTACGTGTGTGTGTGTGTCTGTGTGTGTGTACGTGTGTGTGTGTCTGTGTGTGTGTGTGTGTCTGTGTGTGTGTGTGTGTACGTGTGTGTGTGTATCTGTGTGTGTGTGTCTGTGTGTGTGTCTGTGTGTCTGTGTACGTGTGTGTGTGTCTGTGTACGTGTGTGTGTGTCTGTGTGTAAGTGTGCGTGTGTGTGTCTGTGTGTGTGTCTGCGTGTAAGTGTGTGTGTGTGTGTGTGTCTGTGTACGTGTGTGTGTGTGTGTGTGTCTGTGTACGTGTGTGTGTAAGTGTGTGTGTGTGTGTGTCTATGTGTGTGTGTGTGTGTCTGTGTGTACGTGTGTGTGTCTGTGTGTCTGTCTGTGTGTGAGTATATGTGTGTGAGTTTATGTGTGTATATGTGTGTTTTTGTGTGTGTGTGTGTCTGTAAGTGTGTGTTTATGTGTGTGTGTGCATGTGTGTGTGTGAGTATATGTCTGTAAGCATGTGTGTATGAGTGTGTTTATGTATGTGTGAGCGTGTGTGTGTCTGTAAACATCTGTGTGTGTGTACGTGTCCGTGTTTATGTGTGTGTGTGTGTGTGTATGAAACGTTATGTGTGACGTGTGTATTTTGTCGGGAACAGAGAAGGAAGTGTCATGAAAACAGAGACTAGTGAAACAAATATACATTTCTTTTTAGCTTTTGAAAAAATAAAAATAATAAATATTTAGAAGAAATTGAACGACTTTGAGGTTTTAATGTCGTAAATTAAATCAGATGTGACCACAGCAAAACCTCATCGTTCATAGAGTTCAAACATATATTTTTTTACAGTTCACACAAAAATCTTCAAAATAAAAATCAAAAGAATAAAATAGTTTTGCTGCAGTTGTTGTGATTTACGGTAAAAACACATTTCAAACATCTGCAGAAACAGCAGAGTCCGACATAACCCGGGTCAGAGGGAGGGGTCAGAGGGAGGGGTCAGAGGGAGGGGCCTGGGTTCGCGTCTCGTTTCACCCACTGCTGAGTCTAAAATAGGAAAGAGCTGGAGCTGGCTGAGTGATGATAACACACTCATGACCGTCTTTAACAACAAGATAAGAACCTCCGTCATAATGAGGCTGCGGTTTAACTGTGGTCCATGACACACACACACACACACACACACACACACACACACACACACACACACACACACACACACACACACACACACACACACACACACACACACACACACACACACACACACACACACACACACTCACACATGTGCTGTGAACACATCATGGAAGAAGACACACAACATCACTGATGTGTCCACATGAACCCTCCAGTCTGTCCCAGACTTCAGTCGCCTCAGGGCAGCTGTGGCTGCAGAGGTGTGTGAGGTCTAGACCGTACACAGGTGTGTGAGGTCTAGACCGTACACAGGTGTGTGAGGTCTAGACCATACACAGGTGTCTGAGGTCTAGACCGTACACAGGTGTCTGAGGTCTAGACCGTACACAGGTGTCTGAGGTCTAGACCGTACACAGGTGTCTGAGGTCTAGACCATACACAGGTGTCTGAGGTCTAGACCATACACAGGTGTCTGAGGTCTAGACCATACACAGGTGTCTGAGGTCTAGACCATACACAGGTGTCTGAGGTCTAGACCGTACACAGGTGTGTGAGGTCTAGACCATACACAGGTGTCTGAGGTCTAGACCATACACAGGTGTCTGAGGTCTAGACCGTACACAGGT